CAACAGCACTAAGTTGTATCTGTCGCTACTAACATGGGTTTTTTACATGGTGAACAGGTGCAGACAGAAATAAAACTATGTTAACTGGTCTTAGCTGAAACCACCGCGGATAGCACAGGCGCATTGGAAGAGTTAGCTCTACTTCAAAAAGAAAAGTCCAAAATGAAAGTAATGAAAATAATAAAATACCAAGACAAGAAATTACTTCCTCCAAACTGAACAGTAGTGGAAAACATTCAGGTTATTTGCAAGTTACAAACCAGCAAGGAAAATCTGTTACCTGTCACCAAGTCATAATCCAATTGGTCATATTACTGATTGGGGAGCATAGTTCTCTTTGGCGAAAGGGAGTTAAGCTATATAAATTTGCCTTCTTTAAAGTGATGTTCTTCAGTAAGATGAATTTTCAAAATATCCCTGGTCTCAAGACCTTTGATTCTTGTAGTGTTTAAAAGATTGCAAATACCAATCTAAGTAAAAATTGGAAAGTTAAGATATTACCTGTGCTCTGTTTTAGATGTGACTGTCCCACCTCTAACAAAGCTGACACTCACCATCCGTGGCAGGTAGCACAGACTCGCCTTCCATTTGACCCTAGAGCAGTAAGAGATGCTGCAGATAAAATTGTGTGAGCACCAGGGTGTTCACATAATTCAGAAGAGCAGTTTTCTTGTGATAAACACAGTGCCCATTGAGGTAATACGTTTAAAAAGTCCTAGAATTATACAGGCCTCCCACTCATGCCTCTAAAATGCTGTTCATCTGTAAGAAATCAGAGTAGACAAAAGGTATAATACATGGTGAGGCAAAAGTAGGTTTATAGTTGTTAGAAAGGAAACTAATACAATAATTAATAATAGTACAAGAATGAACTCCATGTACTCACAACCGTAAACCTAATTTTGCCCCACCCCGTATTTATTTTTATTAGAAATAATTTACACAAAGCTCACAATGAAAAGTAACTCTCTCCTCCATTCTTTCTTTGCCTTGCCACTATGACCAAATTCTATTTTTAGTTATAAAGATTTTTTCTATGACTTTCATTAATATACATAAATTTTGTTTCTTGAAATACTAGCTTTACACAGTATATATTGACTCCTCACTTTAAAATATGAGGAAATCTTTCTTTCCACATTCTAATTTTTCTATTACAATTTTTAAACATTCACATTTTGTTAGCTAACTATAGACATGTCTTCTATATCTAGAGAAAATCATTAAATGGTATATACAAAATTATATACCATTTAATGGTATATAATAATGTTCACTGTAGGACCCGTAGGGTTTGCTGAGTTTACTAAGCTTCCCTGGAGCTGATGATAGGTAGGTAGATGGAAAAGATCCATGCTGATCAACTGAATGAGATGACACCACCCTCCACTTGATGGTTTCTTTTAAGACCAGTTCCAATGGTTCAGTACACAATACCCAGATTAAATCCCATTGTCTTCCGTGATTGCTTATCTGAGCCACTCTAGCATTTATAAGTGGAAAAGCTAAAGATTAATCACAAGATTTTATTTGCCTCCTGTTAATCATTCTCAATGAATAAGTAATATGTTGAAAATTTTAAATTGTATTCTAGCCCCTTTTTATTTGTATTTTGTTCTTTGTCATGTATGGAATTGAGAAGGCTAAAAAAATGTAAATATTTTTTGCATTAAAAACTCCGATTGCATGTACTATTTAAAAGCTAGGCTCTAGGTGATAAAACAGTAAATGCCATTTATCCTTGTCTTAAAACAATATATCAACTGATGAATGACTCTGGGATATGATATTGTATAATATGAAGTTATTCTAAATAGATCCATGGCAGGGCAATTAACTGAGGAAAAAGCTGTTCTTTTCCAAATAAAATCTCTCATCTTTTTCTTATGAAAGGCAAATTTAACTGTCAAGCTCAAAAAAATAAAATAGTAAACTTGAAAAATACTTAGTTTTTGAATCCAGCTGTTATTCATCAAGCATTTGTGAGTTACTGTAACCACCAATGTGATTAATATAGTCCTTTGGCTTACATTATTTCATTTAACTCAATTAAATATGACCTCCATACCAAGAGATAGGAAAATATTTATGACATATAAACCTCTGACAAAGGTTTAACATGTACAGTATATGAGAGGTCCTACAAGTAAGATAGCCCAGTTTTTAAAAATTGGCAAAGGTTATGAATAGACAGTTCACAGAAAAGCAATACTAAATGTTCCGCAAATAATATGTAGTCCATTCTCAGGAACACGCAGACTCGATAAAAATTTGGTTCCTCATTTCTCCTATTAGATTGGCAAAAAGTTAAATTTTAACAAGTGTGCACATGTGATCAATTTAACTGTTAATAGCTAAAAGTTCTATCGTATTAGAGGGCAGTTTGATAGGGAATCTGTCAAAATCCAAATATCTAAAAAGTTCCTTTAACCTTTGATCAACTTCTACTTTGATGAACCTACATCTGCTTTGATGTTTGCATGTTTCCAAAGTTGTAAGTACAAGCACAGTCACTGCGCTATTCTTTGTCACAGTAAAAAATAACGAAAATCAATCTAAATATATATTAATAAGAAAATATTTAATAAACTGTTGTCCCCTAAGTATTGTGCAACCATTGAAATGAGGTGTCTATAAACGTCCTACATGAAAAGATTGCTAAGATACAAGGTCAAATGAAAGGCCCTGTTATAAAATATTTAGGGATTGTATGTACATTTTTATGTAGGCTTCTAAAGTGCATAAGAAGGTGTAACAGAATAAAAAAAAATTTAATTTTTAATCCTGTGTACTTCTATTGGCTTAATTGGCCAATTAATGTATAACAGTTTTTGGTAATTTTTTAAGTTTTGAAAAAAGTGCTTGTGATAGATCTAGCAAATAGGACAGAAACCAGATCCTTATCTAACTTTTATTCAATTTTTCCAGTTTACTGCATTTTCTGTGCTGCCTTTGTAGATCAGCAATTGTTTGTTGTGTATAACATTTTCATTTTATTTAACAACGAGTTATGAATTCTTACTAAGGTAGACTCATAGAGATAATGGATTTTCAACATAGTGTCTTGTAACTTGAAGCAACATTTTTTATGATAATTTAAATGTCTTCAAGTAGTCTAAAATATGAAATCTTTTGTCTTGGAGAAACTGCCTCAACACATTGATGTAACATAAGGATGATACATTTATTGCCTTTGTTTTCAAAAAGTGTGCAGGGCATGCCTGCTCAAACCAAGAGCTAAGATGAATATGGCACCCACTCGTGTCTCCATTGTTCTCATTCTCACTAGCCACTTGCTGTCCATCTGGAAGAAACTGGTAGTAAGGTCATCTCTGCTCATCTAGGTTCTGCCAAGCAGAGCTTTGGATTTCTGGACTTCCATATTCATCTTTTTTCATAGGGAGGAGTAACTGGACTGACACCAAGTAGTTCTGAACTACGGCACTTGGAAGGGATCGCTGAGAGCAACCAATGAGCTGGCCAGACTTCGGTAAAAGGGAGCCATCTGGTCTTTTCCTTCATAGAGTCAGCACTCCGTTTCGGGAGCTACTTACAAAAAAGATGATGCTGTTTCTGTAAATTTTTATAAGAAGCAGCTTAATAGATAGAAGGGTTCATAGTTATCTTGATATTTTATTTGGATATCTTTTTGAAAATAAGACCTTGAAGGGATATTTTTCTCTAAACTCCAAAATGATCACCATATGCTAATTTTGGTTTTCTCTTATTTGAGATAATTTTGCTCTTAATACATTATTTATTTACATAATTTTGCTCTTTATAATTTTTAGACTGGAATAGATTTCTTGTGTTTTTTAAACTTCCAAGAATAACTGAAAGTCTGCATATCCAGAGGAATAAGTATAGGCTTGGGATTTTAATATCAGAATTTTAAAACTTTCCCATAATTCCGCCTTGCTAACTTGCAATTACCATAGCTTTCTTCCTTGTTTTGTTTGTAGTCTAATCGTTTAATGTCCCTTCTGTAAAAGTGATGAGAGGGGTGGTGAGTAGCGCTGCTGTGGGAATAGTTTTACTTCTTGTTGGTTAGATCTTCCCACTTGTGGAATAATCTGCCCTAGGATAGTGCTTGTATTTGCAGTCTCAGAAAGATAAATTATTGAGTGTCTATTATTTGCCTGGTATTAGGCAAAATGCTTTGTATGCATTTCTCATTTAACCCTCACAACAACCTTTGGAAATAGATGTGATCATCATCCCTGTTTGACAGATAAAGATCAAGGCTAGCAAGGTTAGAATCCATAACTAGTGAGATGCAGAACTGGCAGCTGAATTTAGATTTATCTTACTCAAAATCCCATGCCCTTAACCTCCATGTCATGCTGTCTCCCAGAACATTCCAGAATAAAAACTTTCTCAGTGAAGGCTATAAAAACACTTGCTTATCTTCTTTATTTTCTGATTTCTTTCTTTTTTTCTCACTGACATACTCTTAGAGGGGAAATGGGTATGCAAAAAGCACTCTGTCTTTATCTAGCTTTGTTTACAGCTCATCCAAGAGGACATCATTTGTACCTCTGTCGTTGTCCTTTGTAATGCCATTGTAAGAAAGGACTTTTCATGGGTTGGATCCTTCACTGTTTGCTTAAGTTAATTTTAATTCACTGTATTTTTAATATCTCCAGTGCCATAATGTCTGAAATTAATAGTGTATTTGGATATAAATTGTGCTTATCTAAAGTAACAAAATGTTGTAATTACAAACCTGTCCACTTAACTAAAATATCTTACCTTCAGGGTCATATCACTGTATGAATTTTTTATGTGCTTTTATGTTCAGTTCTCTCAGAGTATTAATTCCATAACTTTTACAGTTTGAGGCTAAAGAAAATTTCCAGCAAGTACAAAATTTAAAAAGGTTAAACACATATGTACCTGTCATATAGTTTTGATAATAAAAGTATTTTATGTTGGTGTTCCTTTCCATTGTTTACTTAATGTTACTTGGTAGTAATGTGTTTTCTTCTTTGTGTTCAAAGGGCAGTCATTCTACAAAAGTGGAAGCTGTGGTCAGAACTCTGATGAGAATCCAGCTGAGAGATCCAGGAGCTAAAGCACTCGTTTTTTCAACGGTACAATCAGCATTTTCATCCCCAGTATTAATGCAGACTGGCCTTCTGTCTCTAATCAGTGTATATCTGAGAACTAATTATTAATGTTTGCCGTAACATAGGTGAGATTTAGAATTACTGATAGATTTTTCCACATGAGACTTTTTTCCATATCCATAAGATAGAATTATTTTTATAGGATTGCATGATGCTTCACAAGATAGTTCCTATAGCTACATTTTATGTTTTTATATTAGTTTTACTTAGAGATTTTCTTAAATTAATAATTTTTAAAATTGGGGTGCATAGCCTTGAAAGTTTCATTTCACAAATGAACTTGATTGTTTAAGAAAAAAAATAATCAACTGAATAACATTGAATAAAAATCTAGTTTTCATTTTAGAGAGGTAAATAACCACATTTATTAAGCACTCCGGTATTTATTTTCTATTATTTATATTTATCTTAATTCAGTTCTCAAAGATGCTTATTTTATTTTACCCTATTTGTAACCAGCATTTGGTTTAAAACACACACACACACACACACACACACACACACACACACACACACACTGCCATTTCTAGATGGAACTAAATATGGATGGTACTTTATGGTTTTGTGTTTACTTAATTCTGAGGTACAAAAGTTATTTTGACTTAGTTTCTTTTCAGATTCTCTTTATGTGAAAGCTATGTATAAATATTTCCTTACTGTCTTATGTGTTCTTAGTGGCAAGATGTCCTAGATATTATTTCAAAAGCTCTCACTGACAACAACATGGAATTTGCACAGATCAGTCGTGTTAAAACATTTCAGGTATGTCAAGAAGATTTTCTCATGATTTTTAGAAGTAGATTCAGTTGCAAATTGAAACTTAACTGTGTTATTTTTATGTATTGTCTTGTTTCTTGATTAATTATAAAATGTTAAATTAAACAGCGAAGTAGAGAAACTGTAGTTTTCTTTCTGTTCAGTTATGCCCTTAGCTAGATCCTTCTGACTTGAGGTACATTTCTTTAATGTAGCAAGAGATGGCCTTTGATGTACCTTTTGAGTGGACAATGGCCTCATGTCTCAGAGATTAGGTTCTAAAGACATCACATCAGGCAAAACTGCATGTGGTCAGATTCTCCTTACATCACTCCCAGCACAACAACCGGCGCACACCCAAAGAGGCACACAGGAGATCGCGTGACAATTGAGAAAATTTATGTCTCTTATCTCATACTCAGTCTTACTCAGTGTAACACATTCTTTCTCTTTCTCTCAGCTCATACAGTTTAATTTGCATACATCACATACATGTATCCTGGGAGTCCACTTGAGTGTATATGACACTTCCTCATAAAGTCAAGCAACAAGTTTATGTTTTCTAAAATTGGTAATTTTACATTGAATTTTCTTAGCTGTTGCATTCACAGTGAAATGGATACCATTAGATATATTTAACATAGGCTATAATATACTGCTCTTATTTTTAAATGATCCAGCTAAAATTTAAATGTACCTTTCTTTTTTAGGAGAACCTTTCAGCATTTAAACATGATCCCCAAATCAATATTTTGCTGCTGCCCCTGCACACAGGTTCTAATGGATTAACTATCATTGAAGCTACTCATGTTCTGTTGGTGGAGCCCATACTGAACCCTGCCCATGAGCTCCAGGCCATAGGAAGGGTGCACCGAATTGGACAAACAAAGTAAGGACTTAAATTAATATCAGCCACATTTGCTTCAAGTTCCTAAGATACCAATCATTGTTTAAACTCCTCCTTTATGTTCATCATAACCTATTCACTTTTCATCTCTTCCTCATTTACCAAATTTTCAAGTACTAGTATGTGACCAAGAGACATTCTGAGCCCTGACCTATGTGGTTGCTCAGTTGGTTGGGCATTGTCCTGCAAAGTGAAAAGTCCCCAGTTCAATTCCCTGTCAGGTCCCCAGTGGGGCACATACGAGAGGCAACCGATCAGTGTTTCTCAGTCACATCGATGTTTCTTTCCCTCTCCTTCTCCCTCCCTTCTCCTCTCTCTCAAAATAAATAAATAAAATATTTAAAAAGAAAGACATTTTAAGAGATTTCCAACCCTCCCTTCTCCAAGCAACAAACCCCCAAATTCTCCTAGATTTTTGTCTTTTCTCTTTCACAAATTACCCTGATACTTCATCAAAGCAGTTTCTTAAAATAATTAAGACAACTGCAAAGATGAAGACATCCATCATAATTTTGGGAAAAATTGATTTTTCATTGTCTTAGGTAGTTTGTACTTAAAAGAAAGCACTGAGTTTTGCCATGATACCACATTCCTATGTATAATTCAAAACATATTTTTGGCCCAAACTTTCAGGAAAAAAAGTCTTCCATTTTAATTTTTTAACTCAATTTTTTATTTATTTATATTTAGGAACAAAACCGATTATCGTATTCCAGGGTACTATTTTTTATACAGATATCGCTATTGCTTTCTAGAGTTTTGCTTTTAACACAGAAGTGTAAATAAAAGAATTAAAAATATATAGATATGGAATTAGTACTACCCATGTATAATGCACATCCTTATTTTTCCCTTAAAAATTTGATCAAAAATGTGCACATTATACATGGCAAAATACGAGTGTATTTCATGCATGACTAAAGACAAATTATCTCCTTTTTAAATTCTTCTCCCTAGGAAAAGAGAGCCCCACTCTAAGACGGACAGGTCTACTATAAGATAATTAGATTTAGTTTTAGGCCCAAAGCAAACCAAATAGCACATACTATATAGTCTGTACCACTTTTATTCAAAGAAATGCATCCATATGAAGAACTTATTAAATAAATATTGATTTAGTACCTACTATATGTGAGGCATTGTGCTGGATACTGAAGAGTCAAGTTGAATAAGACAATCTATTGCCCCAGTGAGGTTACCATGTAGTAGAGGAAACATGACTGAACATAATGTAGTAGAATATGCAAAAATACAATAGAAGTATCGTGGTTACAAAGGAAGGGAATTGTCAGTGTGTGCCCTAGAGAGTCAGAAAAAGCTTTATTAGGTAGTGAAGTCTTGAAGGAAATTGGGCTAAAAAGGGGTGTTTGTGCAGCCAAAGAGAGTCTAACCATCCTAATCTTTCTAGGGACTGTAAGGGGTTTGCAGTCGCTGAGGTGTGAGGTGTCGGGTGGAATGGCAGGAGAAGGGGTCTTCTATGCCGTGCTCAAAAATACGCGCCGCTCTGTGAGGAATAGCCGAGAACGAGAGAACAAGTGATGACTTCATTTTAAGCAAGAAAGAGGCATGTTCATCTAACAAATTCAGAGTACAGGTGGCTGGCCAGGAGAGCGTTATGAAGAAGGTAATATTTGAGCAAAGAGATGGGAAGTGAGATAAAGCTGAGGGGATAGACCTTGGGGAAGAATGTTCAGGGAGATGGTACCCTCAGTGCAAAGGCCAGAAGTCAGGGGTCTGCCTGGTATGCCGCAGCAACAGGAGGGAGCCAGAGTTGCTGAAGTAAAGTAAGCAAAGAGGAATGGAGTAGGAGATGAAGTCAGAGAGCTTGGCTGGGGCGGTGGGTGTGTGTTGGGCGGGGGTGCTGTGATATAGGGTCCAGGGCCGTTTGGAGGCTTTGAGCAGAGGAGTGGCATGATAGTCAGTGTTACAACAGTCATTCTGAGAGGGAAGCAAAGGCGACTAGAAACAGGGAGACTAGTCAGAAGACAAGTGCAGTAATTCTGGTGAGAGTTGACTTGACCTGGACCATGTTAATAGTAGTGGAAATGATGAGACGTGGTCGGGGTCTGGATTTATTTCGACGGGAGAGCCAATAGTATTTTTGGATGGATTGGACATGGTATATAAGAGAGTCGGGATTAACAACATGGTCTTTGGCCTGGATACCCGAAGGATAAAGCAGCTTTCAGTTGACCAGGGGAAGACTATAAGCAGAGCCGATTTGGTGAGGGAAGGGCAGACTTTATTTTAGATACAAGTTTGAGATGTTTATTAGACATCCAAATGGAGATGTCTATTCTGTAAAGATGTCCGGAGTTTAGGAGAAAAATCTGGAAGTCACCAGCATACACGGGTAGTGTTTTTAAGTCTTGAGACTACATGAGATTACCAATGGAGAGAATGTAGATAGAGAGGAGGACCAAGGGTGAAATTCCAGAACATCCCAAAGTTAAAGGCTCTGGTGAAGAGGAAGAGCCAGCAAAGAGGACAAATAAAGGTCAAACGGTACATTAGGAAGAAACTGGAAGGGAGCGCTGTCCTCGGAGCCAAGTAAAGAATGTAACTCAAGAGGGAGGATACATATGATCAGCTGTGTCATGTACTGTCTGAGTGTCAGGTGAGGTCAGGATCGAGGACTGATTATTAGATGTAGCAGCTTGGAGATCAAAGCCAGCTTGGGTGGAGGCGGTGGCCTGATGGGCGTGTAAGATAGGATAGGATTTTATTTACTTATTAACAAACACACAGAGCAGAGAGGGTTAAGTCACTTGTCCAGGGCCACACGGCCAGTAGAAGTGGTGGCAGACCTCACACAGAGCCGTTCAGCCTCGGCAGCCCCTGTGGCGCTGGTAGGGCCGGTGCTGTGAGGAGTCCTGCTACAGAGAAAAGGAAGAGGGAGGGGTCAAGAGAGGTTGCTTTTTCCTTTTCTTTGGGAGAAATAATAGAGTGATTTCACTAGAAACAGAAAAACTAATGAGGCGAGAGGAGGGAGGAACGCCAGAACGATGTTCTTGAGCCGGCAAGAGGTCCAACGCTCCGCGTGGAGTCTGGTTTCAGGCAGAAGCGCAGGTCACCTGCTGTCGCGTGTAGGGAGGCTCAGTCTATTCCGGACTGAGCTCCAGGCCCGGATGCACATGCCCATGCCTGTCTCTACACCTGCATCTTTAGACTCAACACCTCCCTTGGGCGCCTAATAGAAAACGCAAGATGAACACGGACCAGACAAAACCACCCCTACCACGCTGCCGCCCACGCCAGGGCTGCCCCGCCTGAGAACGCGGCCCTGTCGTGGCTAGCAGGGGTGTCCGACCTTCTGGCGTCTCTGGGCCACAGTGGAAAAAAGAGGCGTTGTCTTGGGCCACACATTAAATATGCAAACACTAACAAAGACTGATGAGCAAAAATAAAGGTTTTAAGTAAATTTACAATTTTGTGTTGGGCCGCATGCATAGCCATCCTGGGCCGCGGGTTGGACATCCCCAATCTATCGCTTCTTAAGCCAGAAGTCTACAACTCTTCCATATTTCCCGTCTCCTATCTCATATCCAAACCATCACGTAGGTCTTGTCAGCCCCACTCCAAAAAATACCCCCAGCCTACTGCGTGCTGCCTGCCTTTGCTGATGTGACCAGTGTCCACCCACCCTCTCACCTGGCTGACTGCAGAAATGCTTAACGGGCTACGCCGTCTCCACTTTTGCTGCCTAGCAGTCCAGCCTCCACACGGCAGCCAAAGGGATTCCTAAAGCATAATCAAATGTAGCTCAAATCGTGCATAAAACCCACACCATAATCCAAATTCCTGCCGTCCCCTTACCAGACCCTCTCCGGTCTGATCTGTGGCCCGTCTCCAGTCTCGTGTTCCGGGCGCTCTCCAGCACTCAACAACCTGCGTCTGCCCCGCCAGCCCTCCCTCTGCCCCTCGGAGGGTTTCAGCCTGGGCCAAGCGCGCTCCCTTCCCAGGACGGCGCATTTATTCACTGTTTCTTCTCTGAGGGCACTCTTCCCGCTCTTGCTCGGCTTAGCAGCTTCATTCCCATCCGCTGTGTTTCAGCTCACATGTCAGCCGCCTCCTGGCATTATCTACCTGAAAACATCATAATTGTTTATGTGTTTATTGCATCTCGCCTCATTAGAATGTTAGTTCGTGGAAATTAAATGGTTTGTTTTATTCACTGCTGAACCATTGTCAGGCCCCCAGCACCTTCGTCAGTACCTGCCAGCTGACTGATGACAGCATAGGCTAAATGAAGTGTTCTCATTATTTCTAAGATTTTTTAAACTTGTAATTGTTATGTGCCTCCTAGACCTACCATTGTACACAGATTCTTAATTAAAGCAACAATAGAAGAAAGAATGCAAGCAATGCTGAAAACTGCAGAGAGGAGGTGGGTAACGCTTAGTTGATGGGGAAGTTTTTCTGTTTATGTGTAAGGTTGTGTGAGTGTTTGGAGCTGCATCACCGAGATGACCACTTGGCCAACCAAAAGGTGCAAGTGGGAATGCTTTTTGAAAGCAAGGCGTGGTGTTTTGCATATTCGGAATTTTCTATTAATGCTCATTCTGTATTTGACTTAACATTAATAGGGATTGTAATGTATACAAATATTTAAACTCTCCTACATTTCTTTGCTACATTGGATTTTTAAATGAAATCTATCTTCATGCCCAACGCAAAAGCCTTAGTCTGATAAGTGTAAAATGAGACTTACATATTTTACCATGCATAGTGTGCACTTTTTTGCCCAAATTTTAAGGGGAAAAATAAGGATGCACATTATACACGAGCAGTGCTAATTCCCATGTATAATGCAAATTATACGTGGAAACTGGTGCTGAAGCATGGGTGCACATTATACACGGCAAAAAACACGGGTAAGTGCTGTTTTGAACTACTTGTTAGTTACATGCAGATAGGAAGGTCTGGACTTAAAATTCTGCTGGTAATTTGTTAATGTTAATTCCAAAGGCAGAATAGCAGCAGAGACCAAAACAGCCTTAATTTTAAAACCTCAACTTGGGAATCCTAAAACTTCTCAATATTTATTTCATAACTTGTTTTCTCTAAAGTCATTTTGAAACCATAAATGCCTCACTGTACCCTCATGAGATAGATGTGACTGGGAGGTGTGCCCAGCGGGGGGTGGTTTCCTTCACAGGGGCGTGTCCACAGGGGGCTTGGCAGAGTGAGCAAAGGAGCAATCCGAAACCTGGAATTGTCTTCCATCGGTGGCTTATGAGAAGGAAAGAGGCCACCACAAGAGCTTTTGCCTCAAACATGAAGGCTTTTTGTGGTGGTGGTTTCCATACATACCAGAATTCAGTGAATATATTTAAGCTGCCTCAATAAAATAGCGATTAGCATTGCTGTGGAAGTTCTCTTGAAACAAATTAACTTTGGATCATAAAAAGGTAAATTGTAAGGTGAGAGCATTAGTAACAGTTGAGGGGGGAGCATGTCTTTGTTTTATTAGTAGCACAATAAAATAATTTATTCCTTGGGTTTCTTTCTGCCCCTGCTCACTTGGAAAATGTGCAGTCACACGAACTCAGCGGGGAAGCACTCGGAGGCCTCCGTCTTGACGGTGGCGGATCTGGCAGACCTGTTCACCAAAGACACCGAAGACCTTGAATGAAGCGCTCTTGATTCAGTCTGCAAACTTTAACGTATTTAAAGACTCTCATAGCTTGTGGAGCGAAGTTATAAGTGAAGCATCCAGTAGATGTCAGTGTATACTGTCCTTAGTTGAATGAATTTCTTTTCTCTGAGTTGTACAGTGCCCTAGCAGTGATTGAGCCCTTTTCAATATACTGTTTCCAGAAGACCTATGAAGATTTTTAATTTTTCACTCTTAATAAAACATTTATTTTTGTTCCAAAGGATATCTATATGTGAGGGAATTGAGACAGGTAATACGTACTTTTCTTTCCATAACGTTTGTCTTAAAACGAGTTGGATTAAGAGAAAGTAAACTAGCCTAGTTTTATATGACCTAGTTCTTCAGCCAACGTGAATCTCATTTTCGGAAGGGCCTACAGTATCTTTAGCACATAAGTCAGCAATATCTCGTTAGTAATATTTTAAGTAGATGATGAATTATATTCACTCCTAGTTAAGTAAATTTAGAATATAACTCCATACATAGTAACATTACAGTAATACCATTCCAACAGTAAGTTAGTATTAGGCCATTATTTCTTTTTTTCTGTATCTTGCTATGAAAAATTGAAATACTGATCATTTTTCCTATTGTTATTACATGTTAAGTAGTGTCAGGGTAAACAGTTAACTTTAACTAGGGTTTTTCAGTGTATTAATGTTTACCTTAAAATTATCTAACCTGCTTTCTCTACTTTTATTTTTTCTTATTGTTAAGTTTTTGTGTGTTTTAAGATGGAGGTATCTGTAAATATTACAATTTTTGTAACTTCAGTCCTTATCATTGTAACATGGAAATATGGCAGGTTTTTAAAAAATCATTATATTGACGTCCTGCAGTCTTTTCCTTTCCCATGTTCTGTGTAACTAGACTTTCAACCACAAATATCTAAATTTATTATTGGGTTTCTTATTTTATTCCACTAGTACTTATCTCAGTGACTAGTATTTTATCTTTGAAGTAAGAGAATGTCATATTTACATAAGCAAATAATTGCAAGTGCTAATAACTTAGTGTTTCTTCTTCTGTGAAGAATTAATGGACTTTGAAATTGGTAACTAAGGAGTAGTAGATTATCATATCCTAGTCATTTGATGTAATACAAATGTTCTCGTTTTGTTTTCTTTGAGCCTTCAAAGTTTTAAATGACCCTCAGGACTCATTAGCTTCTGCTTAGCTACCCAGAAACCTGTAACAGAAATGTCCCCTGGATCACATGTGTCCGAGAGGCTTTGGTGCTTAGTGAAGGTGCATTTTCTTATTCTAGGTTTGACGTAAACAGCTGAAGAAAACACACACACACTTTTGGTGCTTATTCTTCAGTTGAAGAAAGATATGCATTGATTCTTTTGTATGAAATGAAACAGAACTATTCTTTTTTACAGCTCTTTACATATTGTAAAGAGCTTTCCTGTACATTCATGTGTTTAGTTTGCCCAACAACCCTGTGAAGCTGGTATAATTAATACCACTCTTGTTTTGAAGGGAGAGAACCAAGATTCAGAAACATTGAGAAACGAGCCTGTGACCCACGCAGGCGAGACCGCGCAGCGCGGGTCTCCAGCTCTGCCTCAGAGCTCGCGTTCTGTCTCCCCAGCATCTGTGATGTCAACTCAGAAACCCAGTGGTTATGATTTAATGATGCGCATATTTTAGTATTTCTATTTGTTTCCTAGTGTTCCTTTTGAGCTGCAGTTGTAGGGGAAGCAATTTGATATGCTTCAATTTTGTAAAAAACTATATATACATATAAATATACCTATCTGTACTAGAGGAAAAACTCTTATTTATTTCTGTAAGATGTCATCAGTTAATAAATATTTTAGTGGAAGTTGAAATCTGGGGATTTATTTAATTTCTGAGCTGTAGAACATGCAGTGTGGGGTTTGTTTTCTTTTTTGGTTTTTTGTTTGTTTTGGTCTCAACAAAAGATGTCAAAATTGTTTATACTACTGAATCCCATATTTTACAGACATTTGTACTTCTTTAAAACAATTGTGGCAATTCTTCCAAATAATCGTTCAAAACAAATTCAGATCTAACCCAAGAAGACGTGTCTTCTTGGCTGCAAACGAAGGGCTTTTTTGTTCCCTTCCTCCATCACTGTATGTTCTCTGAAATACCACTTTGCTTATAACAGCTGTTTTTAAATGGGTGCTGTACTAATGAATCATGAGAGAGAATGAGACAGCTCCAGTCCTTAAGAGAGGACAAAACCTTAAATGTGTTTTGACGTAGGGAAACATTTTCTATTAAGTGAGTCAGGTGAGCTTATAAGACTGAAAAGACAATTATATACAATGTAAAATACATGTACCTAATTCTGTAATCTTTTGCTTCAACCCCAGATAGCATTGCTGTGTTTTACTGCAATTTTTATTTCTGCTCTTGGCATATTGATGCATGTATTTGATTTTAGTGATCGGTCCCTTTTGTGTCACATTAATAACAACACACTAAAAACTCTTATCATGATAATTCAACATGCAAATCACCAATACCTTACAAGTTAATTAGTCAGCCTAACTGTACTTATCAAAATGTTTAGGAACTGAATTGAGCAATGTAAAGTTAATCATCACCTCAAACAAAGGAAGAAATGATGTCTGAAATCTTCCCGGGCTCTCATTTACTAGTTCTCCCGAGATTTAGGGTGTTAGAGTTCTTGATGTTTATTAAACTCAAAAGATCATCTTTAAGAAATGCCAAATGACCTCAGGTGTAATTAAATTGAATAAAAAGTATCTCAGTTTTTCTAGAATTTAAAATCCCACCATAATATGTCATTTCATAACTTTTAACTGGCATGCCAATATAAAAATGAAATGTCATTAAAACAGTATAGTACAAACGACGCATTTAAAGTCTGGCTACTCTGATAAAGGAATTCTAACCTTCAATAGTATTTCTTCAAAGTAGAATGGATTAACTTCAACTCTGTATTTCATAAAATTTATGAGAATCTCCATATACTTCTGTTACATTGTACAGAATGTAAACCGCTTGCAGGCCTTCCTTTAGAGGAGCGATTTCCAGCCTTTCTCATCTCATGGCACTTGTAAACTTACTAAAATTCTGTGGCTCACCAGAAAATATACTTTCTGCTGATCTGACAAAAAATAGATATAATTTTGATTTGCACACCAGACAGCTATTGTGTTGTTTGTTGTCCTTTTGTTTTTGGGGGGTTTTTTTGTTGTTGTTGTTATTTAACAATCTAAGAGAAAAGAGTTGAGTGCCCCTGACTAAAATAGTCAGGTATTGCATGTTTTAAACATTCTTGTGGCACACCGGTTGAAAATCACCACTTTAGAAAGAGGATCATGTGAGTAATTGATCACCCAAAAGAGAATTCAGCCCTCACAGTATGTATGCAGTGTTCATAGGGTTGTTACCCGTCCAAAAGTTCGTGTGCCCGGCACTTCATAAAGGCCAATATTCAATATGTCAGAGTTTGTAGTAAGGAAAGATTTATTGATTGAGAAGCTCCCTGATCCAGAAGATGGGGGTCAAACCTATCTTAGGCAAGCACAAAGTCCAGACTTCCTTTAAATCCAGGGAAGGAAAAAAAGGAGGGGCTGTTTTTGTAAAAATTCAAGTCCAAAGCTGAGTTCCTGTAATGATTACCAAGTGAAAAGCAAGAGCTATTAGCCCAAAGGCCATCATGGGAAGAACTCAGACCCCAACAAGATGGCATTAGAGAGACCGAGCATTTCACTCTGTTATCGAGTAATACAAGAGGAGAGTATCACAAGAGAAGAGAAAATAGGGTAGCATAAGAACTGGGCAGGGACCAAAATTACCATCACTAGCCTTCCCATGCCTTCATCAGCGTTTCGGGGGCTATCTCTGTATCTTGTCTTTGAAGGTCCTGCACCATCTGTCGTATCCTATTCCATTTTTTCATATCAATGGCTCTCAAGACTGATTTTGTTCACTGCAACTGAATTTGTTATATTGAAACCAAATCTTTTGTACTGCAGCTTATGCTTTTTTCCTTGCAAAACAAATAAAATTTAACCTCCATTGTCTGTGTGATTATTTTTCATACAGGTGACTCTTGTTATTAAATTATTCAGTAACTTTTTCTTTCTGTCTACCAAATATTCCATCCCTTCAGCCTTCTCTCAGAGGTCTTCCTCTTTAAACCCATTTGCTAACTTTATCTCTCGGAAACCTCCTTTTAGGCACCACATCCCTGTTGGAGCCTATTCGAGGAACAGTTTTGTGCAAGGACATATTTTTGGCGTGAGATTTTTTTCAGATCAACACTAACACCTTTATTCCCATCCACTTAGGTAAGTAGCCTTGTGTCACCTAGGTAAGTGGATATAGGAGCTACTCATATTCTCTTACCAGGCGAAGGTATGGTGAAGAATTTCATACTTGTTTTAAGATGTCAGTGAGAAAGGGCCTATAGCATCCAGCGCAATTCCGATTCTCCACAAGAAAGGAATTTTAGAACGCAAATTGAGTTCTCAAAGGAGACAGCAAAATTGTTTTTGAAAGGTTTTAAGAAATCTAGGATTTTTTTTTTAAGTGCAAGTGAACTTTAAGGCTCTTCTGAGTTCTGTAGAAAAAAAACCTACAGGATGTCCCATTTTAAGCTTTTTTCCCCCCAAAACACATGGTTGTAAAGTTCCAGGATTTTTTTAGCCATGTGAATAACAAATACCAGAAAAAGTGAGCTGCTGTTTCCTTTTCTAAAAAGTAAGCAAAGAAAATGCAACTATTTTTTAAAATTTATCGAGGATTTCAATTAATTGAGTAGAAAAGCAATTGCCTTCCCTTGTATGTGCAGTTAATACTTGTTAAACTTTGTTGGCCGGAATTACTAACAAACATCGTTCACATCAGAGCAGAGTTGTGTGGGTTTGTAAAACATTTGCAAACATCCTGTCCACTAAAGAGGCCTAGCTAATAAACACCGAGAAATCATTTTAAAGTTTCCCCTGGAACGGTACTGTGTTTCATATTTAATAGGAAGTGCTGTTTGATTCTTATTCTTGTATTTGGCTATCAGTACCTAGTTGTTGCACAAACTGATTGACTTTTATCCCCAAGATGTATTTAACATTGCCTAAAGATGTTTCTTTCAGAAGTCTGTTAATCCAGCTACCAAGGAAACTGGTGTACTGCCCTGAAATCATGAGGGAACTTCAGTGACAGTGGATCCCAGATCTAAGGGGACAGTGGACCTGTTGAGCAGGCCACCCTCCAGAATAATTGCCCAATGTTACCATGTTTCTCTCACATTAGACAAAATCAAGGGTGGTTTTCCTCTTTGGCTGGAGGCAAATTCAACCTTAAAAGGTAGTCATATTTAACAACAAAAAGACAACCCAATATAAAAGAGAGGCATTAGGTTTTTTTAATAGAATGATGTTTATTTTAAAATGAAGATGCTAAAAGCGTAGGAAGTCTAAAAGTTTATGATACGACTTACAAAAATTGTGTGTATTTTCTATTTTGAAGGCACACGTTTAGTATGTGCCTTCAAAAATGATTATCAGGTAGTCAGGAAAATAGCCATTTTAATCTTGCTTTAATGAGGAAAAGTTGACAAATGTAAGTATATATTTAAAGTGAACAACATGATGATTTATACATTGTGAAATGATTACCAAGATCAAAGTAATTAACACATCCTCACCTCACAGTTAACACTTTTTTCCTGTGTGGGGTAAAAAAGGCTTACAGTCTCAGCAGTTTTCAAATGTACAGTACTGTGTAATTAACTATAGTTACCATGCTGTAAATTCGAACCTCAGAACTTCCTTATCTTACAAGTGAAAGTTTGTACCCTCTGACCTATATCTCCCCTCTAAAAAAGATACACAAGTGGCTAATGAGCACATGAAAAGATGATTAGCAGCATTGGTCACTAGGGAAATGCAAACCAAAACCATAATAAAAGTAATTGGGAGAGGGGAGATGAGGATGAAGTAGAACATGGAATTTTTAGGGCATGAAACTATTCTGTATGATAACACGGTGATGGATACATACTAAGTGCTGTCAAAACCCATAGAGTACAATACCAAGAGTGAACCCCTATGTAGACTATAGACTTTGAATAATAATGATTTGTCAATATAGGCTTATCAATTCTAAGATACAACAAGTTTACCACTCTGGTGCAGGATATTGATAGGGTGGGAGCTATGTAGGAACGCGGTACTTTCTGCTCAGTTTTGTTTTTAACCTAAAGCAGCTCAAAAAGTCAAATCTATTTTTAAAAATACACAAAATGAGATACTATTTCATACCCACTAGGCTGTAATCAAAAGACAATGACAAGTTTGTTCAAGGATATGGAAAACTGGAACCCTCATACATTGATGGTGGAAATGTAAAATGGCACAGGTACTTTGGAAAACATTTTGCCCATTTCTTAAAAAGTTAAACATACACGCTTACCAGTTACGCCACTCCTCCATGTTTACTAAAAAGAAAAGGAAACCCATATCCGTACAAGAACTTGTATATGAATAGTCCGGCAGTTTCGCAAATTGTTAAACACAGAGTTACCATATGACCCAACAATTCCACTCCTAGGCATGTACCTCTGTTAGCTCAGGCTGTCATAAGAAAATGTCACAGACTGGGTGGCTTAAACAAGGGACATTTCTCACAATTCTGGAAGTGAAATTGAAGATCAGGGTTGTGGCAGGCCTGGTTTTGTATGAGTCTTCTCTCCTTGGCCTGCGGACAGCTGCCTTCTCCCGGCGTCCTCACGTGGTCTCTCTGTGTTCACGCGCCCCTGGCACCTCCCTTGTTAAGAAACATCCAAACCTGTAGAGAATTTTTATGAGTTTATTTGAACCAAACGGAACCATTGCCAGGAAGCAAAATCTCAACGGATTCAGAAAATGCTCCAGAGAGTGGCAGTTTTACCACTTATTTTCTACATTAGAATCAAAGGTGGAGGCATAAGGAGGGTAACATCAAAACCGTTGGTGGTAGACTCAGGGGGCAGGAGAAAGCAAAGTCGGGGGGAATCTCTGGGATTATATAAAAAGTAAAGTGGAGAGACGCCTACTTTTCTTACATTGGTGTGCACAGGATAGATCATAACCAACATTTAAGACAGAGAAGGTAAGAGGGAACAAAATAAGGAGGGGTTCTGTGGTCTAGTGCTCTGCTGCGTGAGTTTGCCCTGAGGGGTCTAGAAAAGATTCATTACTCTGGTAATGCAAAAGTATGAAGGCAAAAGGAAAACAGACAGGCTCACTTAAAGGTAAAGGTTGACCTTTGTCAAGAAAGCTACCAGCGTAGGGCATGACTCCCTGCCCTATTCACTTTTAGGTAGGAAGTTTTGTGTTCAGCCCATCCTATTTGTTAACTTTATGTCTTTGAGTTTGTAAGCCCCACCATGCAGGCCTCCCCTGACCTTGTCAGGTTTAATATGTGGCTCCCTTTCTGTCCCCAACATTGTCATATTGGATTAGGGCCCCACCCTAAAACCTGTTCTTATCAGTAACATTTACAATAGACAAAAGTGGAAACAACCCAAATGTCCATCAAATGATAAATGGATAAATAAAATGTTGTATATACTTACAATGGAATACTATTTGGACATAAAAAGAAATGAAGTACTGATACATGCTATAAAGAATGAATCTTGAAGACATGTTAAGAGAAAAAAGTCATAATAAAATACTGTGTGCTTCCATTTTTAAGAAGGGTCTAGAACAGTCAAATCTA